ACTAGGGTTGCCAGAGCCTTTTAAAATTTTCTTTCCATACTTTCACAATGAGAGGAAGATGAGATTATTCTTCTGAAAAAAAGAATCTTTGTAAAAACAGAAGAGGCAGGCAGCATAGCGCCATTTCTAGAGAGCAGGGATTAGAGGCAAGAAACCTGCTTCTGACACAAACTCAGAGGCCCAGGTGACCATCTAAGACTGAGTTAGAGGAGTTTTTTATCTGTACCTACAGAAGCAATTTCCATGCTGGAAATATAATATATAACGAAATCATGGGTCCCAACTCCTCCCCAGCTCCCCTGCCTCTCAAAAAACATAAGCTTAAACTTGATGATCCAAGAGGGACTTAAAAAGAGGTTTGAGAAATGAACACTAATCTCTAAGAGATCCCAAAGGAAGGATGTGGAAGACGTGCCAATTCCCAGTCCTGAAGAAAAGAACCCTGGAGTTAGAAAGGGCCTTAAAGGATCATTTGGCTCAGCCTGCTCTCTTCAGGAAGTCGGGTATATAAACTCTCCAAGGACAGGGGCTATCTATCCTCTTCTTTTAAGAAAAAATATTTCTTTGTTTTGTTTTGAAACAATTTCTTATTCAGTTGCTTCAGTCCTGTCTGACTCTCTGTGATGCCGTTTGGGGTTTTCTTGGCAAAGATACTAGAGTGGTTTGCCATTTCCCTTCTCCAGCACATTTTACAGATGAGGAAACTGAGGCAAACAGGGTGAAGTGACTTGCCCTGGGTCACACAGCTAGTTAAGTGCCTGAGGCCAGATTTGAACTCAGGAAGATGAGGCTTCCTCATTCCAAGACCAAACTCTGTGCACTATGGCGCCACCTAGCTGCCCTAGAAACAATACCAAAACCATTCATGGATGCTGACTCTTTTCTTCTTAAAGTCACATGTTAGAATAGCAGCATGGAGTAGCTGAAAGAACATTGGAATCAGAGATCCTGAGTTCACGTTCCTGCTCCCTGTGCAAGCCTGGGCAAGTCTCTTCACCTTTGTTCCTGTTCCTCAGTTCCCGTATCTGTAAAATGGAGGGCTTGGAAAGCCCCCCATGTTGTTATTCCTATTCTCTGTCCTTCCCCAGATCTCCAATACTATTAAGTAGAATGAGCATCAGGTCAAAGGCTTGGAACTCTGCTAAGTGCTGGGGATATAAAGACAAGCAAAAAGAAGGCAGATCCTGCCCTCAAGAAGCTTACATTCTAATGGGGGAGGGGAGCTGATGAGAGTATCTAGAGTGGGGACATGGTGTTGGGTGTTGAAGTCTAGAAAGTCAGAAGCACAGGCAGGAGGGGAAGGAAAGTTGTCAGGCCTGGGGTCTTCCCTTCAATGGAGGCCCCAGGGGGAACTCATCAATGGGAGAAAGAGGTGGAATGGCTGAGGAAATGTTCAAGGTGAGAAGGCTGTAGGGGTAGATGGCATATTAGAGGCTGAGAAGGCCCCAGGAAGGAGAGTCTTCGGGTGATAACACAGAAGCATGGTATTGAAATCACTACCAGCCATAAATACAAGAACTCTATGAAATGGCCTCCCGGTCATGAGCTGGAGAGGCTCCATGCTACAGTGGGAAGACTGTAAGCTCCTTGAGGTCAGGGACTGTTTTCCATTTTGTCTTTGTATCCCTAATGCCTAGCCTAATAGTAAATACTTCATAAAGGCTTCTTGGAGCATGGGATTTAGAGCCAGGAGAGCTGGGTTCAAATCCTTATTCTAATATTACTGGCTTTGTAGTCACAAGCAGGTCATTTAATTTGTCCAAACCTCAGGTTCCCCATCTATCAAATGGGGACAATTATACTTGTGCATAACTTACCTCCCAGAAGAGTGTGTGTGTGTGTGTGTGTGTGTGTGTGTGTGTGTGTGTGTATGGGAGGGGGCTTTGTAAACTTTAAAGGGACATAGAAATGTTTTTTTTTAATTGTAGTTAAATTAGGGACAAGGGTTGAAAAATGAAAGAGGTTGTTAAAAGTGAGTTTGTGGGAGCTCTGAGAGCCAGGGCCCAGAGAAGAAAATGACAGACTAGCTCTGGGCTTTGTTTCAAGGCTTCCTATACTAAACCAAACAAAAAAAATGATTTAACATGCCAACAAGAGAGTTTTATTTCTTTACTTAATTCTCCCCAGGCAGATAGGTGGCACAGTGGATAGAATGTTGGACCAAGAATCCAAAAATTGAGTTTGGATCTCTATTTCAGACATTTATTAGCTGTGTGACCCTAGGCAAGTTACTTAAAGGCTGTCTGCCTCAGTTTCCTCATCTGTAAAATGAGATAACAATAATAATACCCACCTTTGTTTCAAGGGTAAAATGAGATAACATTTGTAAAGCGCTTTGCAAACCTTAAAGTATGATAGAAATAATTAGCTGTTGTTGTTATTGCTGTCCTCTGTCCTTCCCTATTCTCCACCTTCCCCAGATCTCCAGTAATATTGAGCGGAGTGAGCATCAGGTCATAGCTCTAAAACTGGAAGGAACCTCAGAGGCTCCCTCATCCAATCCCTCCATTTTACAGATGAACAAACTGAGGCCCAGCTAGTTAGCGAGATTTGTCCCAGGTCACACCAACTGTAAACATCACAGGCCCTCCTACTCCAGAGACAAAGCCTTTTCCACTAAGAACTAGTACTTACATAGTACAAGGGGCCCACCTTTTCCTTTTCCCTTCTCCACTGATGTAGGTTCATGGACTTTTTCCAAGCCACCTTGATCCCTTTCTTAATCTTTCCAACTCACAAAGTAGGCAGATTCCCCTTTTCTGATCTCCCACAAGCACATTCTGTGCAAAGCCACAATGCGCTCAACTCTTCGGGGACGGGTATGGAGTTTCATCCCTCCCTTCTCTGCTGGGAGTAGGGGCAGCTCTCAGTGTGGCTTCCCCGGAAGAAGCGTTGACCAAGCCTGGTCAACAGGAGGTTGTTTCAGGGTTAACATCTTCCTCAGGATGGCCCTTTTATCATCATTACACTAGTATCAACTGGAGCAGCAATATGAGAAGATCCACGACCATTCATTTTTTCCAGGATAAATGTCACGACACATGTGTGAGACTTTCAAAATAATAGCAGAAATCAATACTGTGAGGGAAGGCACAAAGTGAGATAAGGGAGAACCAGTCCCCAGTCATGCTAGCCATACTAAGTCATCTACAACTGCTCAAACCAAACTTCAGTTTCACTCCTTTTACTCCCACGACTGTCTCTGCCTGTGAGAAGAGCGAGCACACAGATGAAGGCCCGGGCCTCACTCCTTTCTCAGGAGCTGGCGCTCTGGTCGGGCTGGCTGATAGATGGGAATGCTCTTCAGACTGCTGTCAGTGATAGATCTGGCTTAAACCCCAGGGAGGATTTACCTTATCACACCCAGAGCTGTCAAAACCAAGAGGCAAGAGGATCTCTTGGAGGAGGAAGAACAGCTGGGGTCAGACATGTCCTCATTTATCTAACTTGACTGATTTATCCAGCAGCCCCTCCCTTCTTGGGAAAAGGATATGGGAGGCCTGTATCTTTAACACCTTTTCATCAAATAGCCATTTGATTCCCGCTTGCTTTGTATTAGACTGGGAATTCTTCAGAGCTAAATCCACTGATGGTGTAAAGGATTCTGGGTCATATTTTAGTCTTGGCCAGCAATTTGGATGTCAAAGCATGATGCCAATGAGGGAACACCAGTTCTATTCTGGCCAGATAGCTTTATACAGGAAACACACACACATCTGATATCAAATTGCTCCCCTGATCTGAGCTAGCCATGTGAAAACACACAAGAAGAACCAGCTGAGGGAATGTGGATGGCCCAACACAACCCATCATCACTACCAGAAAACAACCCAGAGCTCATACCCCACTAAGGACACCCTATAGCCTCATTTTCATGTAAGAAAGACACTATAGTAATAATAAATTACTGTTAGAATTTTTTTTCAGTTGCAAGAATAGACATTAGTAATATATTACTGAACATGAGGGGCAATACGTTATATATTGAAGTAAGACTTTTGGGACGCCCTATATTAAGGGTGGAGATAAAATACATTTTACTTTTAGAGACCACAAATTGATGGCTGTGACCTGCATTGTGTACCTCTGACATAGCCTGCTCTCAGTTATCTGTGGTTGTAGCCACTGGGAGACAAATGAAATGTAGACAAATGAAATCCACAGAGAATCCTGAAACTTCATTATAGCCCAGAAACATAAACCTAGCTACAGAAAGACAGAGTTTAAAAGTCATCTAACCCAAACCCCTCACTCTGGACATGAGGGGACAGAGGCCCATAGCTTACATGACCTAGTTAGTGGCAGAACCAAGATCAGAGAGGCGAGGATTTCACATTTCTCCTGCCCAAACATCCCCCGTCATCAGCTAGGATATATCTAAGAAATAAAAAATATTCTCAAAAGTAATCTTGGAGTAAATTGAGAAACATGGTACAGTGGAAAATTCACCCTGAGGTCAGAGGACCTCGGTTTAAATTCTGCCTCTGATGTTTATTATCTGCATGGTTTGGTCAATTCCTTCAGTCTCCCGGGGCCACAGCTGCCTGATCTGTAGAACTAGGAGGTGGTACTAAAATGGCGTCTGAGGTCTCTCCTAGTTCTAAATCTATAATCCTACCATCTGAGCAAAATATAAAAATGATGACAAATTTAGGGAGTTGAGGGGGCATGTGTATAAAAGGGCAGGAAGAAGTAATATAAAGCATTCCAAAGTCAAACAGAAATGGTTTCTAGATTAGCTATCGTCCTATATGCTCTTCCCTTTCCCCCATTCCTTACTATAGAAAATTGGGTCAGTTATATGCATGAGATCTCCAGGAGTTAGCCACATACCCAAGAGAGATCCTTCTTGTCAGTCAATGTAGTCACATTAAGGCCTTGGTGGGCCCTCAGTAAATTGTACGGCCCAACACTGGCAGGCCCTGAGCATCTGCACCTTCCGCCCAATGGTTAGTGTATCCCAAGGATCAGGAATGTATCCGTCCGTAGGAACAACCTACCCAAGATGGCTACCACCTCATCATCCTGAATCACTTCCAAAGAACCTGAAACCACAAAGCACAGGCTGTCGACACTCTCGCCAGCATGGTAGATGAGGTCACCAGGGGCACAATGAACGGTCTGGAATTCCATGGCCAGTGCCCGTAGGCAGCCATCGCTGGCGAGCCGGAATGCTGGATGCTCCTTGAACACCTTGCGATTTAGGTGCACACAGATATCAGCACGCATGTCCTTGGGGCATATCTGGAGAACCTAGGAAAAGATAGAAGATAGTAAATGTCAAGGTCATTCCTGCTGCTACCACAAGACTATGGCTTCCTTTTTGTAGAGGCAAGATTGTGTAGTGGAAAGGAAACTGGGTTAGGAGTTAGCAGATTGATATTCAAGCCCCAACACTCACAGTTACTAAGTGTGTAACCTAGATTCATCTTTCTGAATTCAAATCTGGCCTCAGATACTTACTAGCCGTGTGACCTTGGGCAAGTCACTTCACCCAGTTTGCCTCAGTTTCCTCATCTGTAAAATGAGCTGGAGAAGGAAATGACAAACCACTCCAGTATCTTTGCCAAGAAAATCCCAAGGGGCAGCTAGGTGGTGCAGTGGATAGAGCACTGGCCCTGAAGTCAGGAGTACCTGAGTTCAAATCCAGCCTCAGACCAAACTCTTGCCACTTACTAGCTGTGTGACCCTGGGCAAGTCACTTAACCCCAATCGCCTCACCAAAAAATAAGCAAATAAATAAAAAGAAAAATAAAAATCCCAAACAGGGTCAAAAAAAGTCAGACTTGACTGAAAAATGACTGAATAGAAGTGGAATATAAAATCAGCCTGTTAAGGCTGAGACTGAACATTTATTAAAGATCTAGGTCTAGTTCAATTCAGTTCAGTTCAACTTAACAAGCATTTATTAGATACCTACTGTGTGCCAGGCACTGTGGTAAACCTTAGGGGCACTAAGGCAAAAAAACCAAAATATTCCATGACCTAAAGAAGCTGACAACTTTTACTGAGGGAATCAAGAAAGGCTAATTAGAGTAAGGGACACTTCAGGTAAACCTAGAAAGGAACTCGAGATTCCATGAGGTGGAGATGAGTAGGAAAAGCATTCTAGGTATGAGGGACAGCCTGTGCAAAGGCACAGAGAGGGGTGATGGGATGTCATGCATAAAGACCAACAAACAGACCTGGAATGTAGAGGGCATGACAGGGAGTGATACACCAGGAAAGAGTCTGGAGTCAGAATAGAAAAGGCTTTCCATGTAAAACAGAGAAGTTTGTATTTGATTCCAGGGACACAAAAGAATCACTGAAGCTCCTTAAGCAATGAGTCACGTGGTCAGTCCTGTGCTTTAAGAATGTCAGTTTTGCAGCAGTATGAAGGATGGATTGAAGAGGGGAAAAGGGCTGGATGCACTCTCTCTCTCTCTCTTCTCCTCTGTCTCTGTCTCTCTCCTCTCTGTCTCTCTCCTCTGTGTCTATCTCTGTCTCTGTCTCTCTGCCTCTGTCTCTCTCGCTCTCTTTCTCCTGTCTGTCTCTGTCTGCCTCTCTGTCTGTCTCTATCTCTCTCTGTTTCACTCTCTTTCTCACTCTCTCTTTTTCTCTCTCCCTCTTTCTCTCCTTTTCTCTCTCTCACTCTCTTTCTTCCTCTCCCCCCTCTCTCTCCTTTCTCTCTTTCTATGTTTCTCTCTCTGTTTCTCTTTTCCTCTCTCTCTCCCTACACACACACGCACACGCACGCGCGCACACACACACACACACACACACACACACACACACACACACCCCCCATTTGTGAGGCTGTTGAAATAACCCAGGCAAGAGGTGATGAAGGACTGAATTAGGATGGTTTTGGTTTGGTTAGGGAGAAAAGGATGGATGTAAGCAGAGATGTGTTGGGGCCCCACTTGTATAGTGTGAGCCAATTGCTAAATTTTCAGTAGGATGATTTATACCTCCACGGGGAAGTGCTCTCAATCAGGGCTTGATTTATTGTTTGTTGATTGTCTAGATTTAAGAAAGTGATGGAGAAAAGGCTAATCATGCCAGTTAAACTTAAAAGTTTGGGGTGCATACATTTTTCTTCTTTTTTCTTTTTGGAGAGCCAGTTGTTAAACATTAACCAACATACTCCTGGATGTAAGAAATCTTACACGAAGAATCAACAAGACAACTGATTACATATGGAGGATGGGGAGTGAGGGAGATGAAGAGCCATGAAAAATAACCTACAAAACCCACAAATACAAACAGGGGCTTCCTCTCTCCAAGCATATCACATGCAAGAAAACTCAGCATGTCACATCAGAACTGTGCCCACTGGTTTGGAACCAAGATTTATCTTCTAGGTGAATTCACCTGTAAATATTTGGTTTTCTCAGGCTCAAGCAGCTCTGCTCTCTCTAGCAGCAGCTGCCAGCAGAGCAAGGCGTTGGTGTTGAAATGATGTTTTATTCATGGGCAGCACTCCCAAAGCCTTGTGTATACAGGTGTGGGCGAGGGAAAGGCAACAGAGCTTGGGCGGCAGAATTTATGGACTGCCATGGCCATCAGTCAGTCTCATCTTTGTGAGTTCTTGCTCCAACAAGTGCATGCTCTCTCTGTCTCTGTCTCTATCTCTGTCTGTCTCTGTATGTCTCTCTCTCTGTCTCACACATACACACACACACACACACACACTTTCTTAGTTTCTCACTCTCCTTTTTTCCTTCTCTCATTTTCTCTTACTTTCTCTCTCATTTTTTCTCTCACACTTTCTCTCTTCTTTTTCTGCCTCACTTTCTCTCTTACTTTCTCTTTTACTTTCTTGCTCTATCTTCCTCATTGTCTCTCTTACTTTCTCTTTCTCACAGTCTCTTTTTGTCTCATTTTTTCTTTCTCACTTTCTGAACCTCTCTCACTTTACCTTCTCTTTCTTGTCTACTTTCTCTCATTTCCTTTGTTTTGCTTTCTCTCTTTTCTCACTTTCTCTTCTGTTCTCTCTCACTTTCTCTTTTTGTCTTTCACACACACACACACACACACACACACCATCCTCTGTCACTGAGATAGGAGCTTCAAATCTGAGCTCCCTAGGCTAAGCTTTCTTGCTGTTTGGCTTCCTGGGAATTCCATTCCTTCATTTGCTTTAAAGACCCTAGACATTAACAGGGATGTGTCAGCATGGGAGACTGGACCATCTTATCTAGAATCAATGCTGTGCGAGGCATGAAATCTTGTTGAAACACTTCAGTGGACAGAGTGAGAAGAAGGCCAAAAAGGTGAAGTGAACTTTTGTCTAAGATCAGATAGCTCACTCACAGCCAACCATTGGCAGCTGGTCACCAGACTCCAGTCTAGCACCATTTCTAAGCATTCCTCTTAATTATCAAACATAACATAGCCACGTAAAGGAGAAAAAAAAAGCTGGGAAGAGGAACGAGGATGAAGGCATAATCTATTTTCCCTACAGAACTGCTCTCCAGTGGACTATTTTCCGGGTAGGTTAACCTCCACAAGAAGGCTGGCCAAGCAAATTGGTATAATGTCATGCCATCGGGTTGAATTTCAGGGGCTGAAGATGTAACTCAGGGGTGGGGATCCTGTGGCCTCAAGGCCACGATTGGCCCTCTAGGTCCTTAAGTGCAGCCCTTTGACTGAATCCAAACTTCACAGAACAAATCCCCTTCATAAAAGGATTTGTTCTATAAAACTTGGACTCAGTCACAAGACTGCACCCAAGGACCTACAAGGCCACATGTGGCCTTAAGGCCGCAGGTTCCCCACCCCTGATGTAGCTCTTTTTTCTTCTGCATAGAAGAGGTTATCAGGATGGCAGCTTTAATGCAAATCTCATGACCATGTTGGGCAGTCTTTCCTTGCAGTTTGTCAAAGGTTCTAGAGGCTAAAGAAGGTCGAGTGTGGTGGTACTGGTGTTCTCTGCCCATGTCCCACCTATCTTCATCTTACCCAAAGGGATAGAGCCTTGAGTAAATGGTGCCCATGCCATCCATCACATATAGGCATTATCTAGGTCAGCCACGATCATAGTGGGGAGGATAAGGAAAATCTTTACTATAGACAGCAGATTGCAGTATTATTCTGTCCTCTGCTAAAGTGAAACATCACTCTTTTCCCTCCATCAGTCTCTGGCTACTTTGTCCAGCTTAGGTTTGAGGATTATTCCTAAAGAGAGGATGCCAGCAAGAGAAGAAAGAAACTGAGGTGGGTGATCAGGGATCTAAGTTCCCTATGTAAAAGGATTAGATCACTGTTTGCTTCAGTTTTCCCATTGGCAAAATGGGAAGAGACCTTCCCAGATCCTTCCTCTTTCCTTTCTGGGGTGGGTGGAGATGTCTTGAGGCTAAATAAGATGATGTATCACAAATGCTACTACCCCAGGATGAGGATATGCTCATATTCAATTTATATCACCTCTTCAACTCCTGACCGTGCATGTTGAAAAAGGAGTAGTCACACAAATAATCCAAATCCATTCATATTTGCCTTTCTATAAACATGTCCTGCTGTATGTTTACAGAAGATCCATTTTTTAACATACTCAGCTCAGGCTAATATTACAAGAAGTTTGAATTCCCTGAGCACACACTGACTAAAGCAAAAAAATTTTCAGAGCTGCAGGGAGAAGGTGGCCAGGATTAAATATTTGTTTTAAAATAATTCATAAAGCAGTTGATCCACATCTGCATAATAGTTGACTGTACCTTTCTCACATGTGCATTTTTTCACTCTCTTTTTCACTCTTTTATGCGATTTGACCAAGTTTTCCTTCAAACTATTTAATGATATGAAATTAACACAAGCAAACTCTCAGAGTAAGATAGGGATTTAATCATTATACCCATTCCACAGATGATGAAATTGAGGTCCAGAGTAATTGCTTAACTGATCCCAAATTGTACTTCTAACCTTGTACCTTTCTCATTTGTATAGTTATTCAAATTTTCTAGAGTAATGTAAGCTTTTTGAGGTCAGGAAATATTTTACTTTTATCTTTGTATCTCTAGAGACTTGCACATAGCAGTTACCTAATTAATCAATCAATAAGCATTTATTAAGTGTCTCTTATATACCAGGTATTATGCTAGGCACTTGGGATACAAAGATAAAAATAAAACAGTCCAGCCCTTGACAGGTTTATATTCTATTGGGGAAGACAATGCGTATACATATAAGAATATGCAAAATAAATGTGAGGTAATTTGAGGGACCAGTAATTGAGAGGGATTAGGAAAGGCCTTATATAGAAGGCAGCACTTGAGCTGAGCTTGGAAAGAAACTGGGGAGTCTGAAAGGTACAGGAGAGGTAGGGGTGCATCATAGGTATGAAGGACAGTCTGTGTAAAGACAGAGATGGGAAATAATATAACACGTTAGGAACAGTAAGACTACTAGTGCAGCTGAACCACACAATGTATGAAAGGGAATAATATGGAATAAGGAAGTAATATGGAATAAATCTTGGCTGAATTACACTTAATTGACCCCCTTAATTATGCAATGGAGAAAGCTAAGTGACAAGTAGTTTTTCCTAAGTTCCCAATCTTTTACCTTCTCAGTGTCAATGCCTCTGGACATGGACCAAGTGGACACAATGTAGTCCATGACTCGTTCACTGAGTCCCTTTGGCACCTGGTAGAGCTTCAGGAAGTCCCGAACACTGTTGAGCATCTCGTGGTACCTGTTGGTGTTAGCATACATCTGCTGGAAAATGGTGGTCACATTCCCAAAAATGGTGGCGTACAAGAGGGCTGTAGGAGAGAGAGGAAAGGAAATGGCATGTAAATGGGAGTCTACAAATGGGATGACCTCCCCAAAACATGCCATATAAATGGCCAAGAGGTCAGGCCAATGGGCAACATGTCCAGAGGCTGAGGCCAGGTACCTCCCTTTACAACCTTGAAAAGAACAAACAGTATAGGCATTTTGGAAGACTGGTAAGCCTGGGCATCATGAAATAGTGGAAGTACTAGGAGAAACACACACACAAAAAAGATTTGGATAGCTAAAATGTCAAGTCCTAGATATAATCAGGTGTTAACTTTTTAAGAACTCACAAGATACAAAGCTACCAGGCTGCTGTAGCAGACAAAAGCCCCTCCACTTCCACTGTGGTTATCTGGCTAGTTCCCCCCCCCATTTTTTTTTTTACCCACACCTTCACTCCCAACTTTGTTGATTAGGTATTTAGTTCCGTTCCTTGACTCCTGGCTAATGTCTCAGTGACACTCTCACCCACCCAACTGACCAAGCATTTCAGCCCCCAGCCACACTCTTTACTAGGATCTTTCTGGATTGTGAATTCTCTAGAACTCTAAGTGGGAGCTTTTCATCTACTCTAATATACCCCTGCTGGTCTCTTCTGGCCATAATGAAATTTGAATGTCTACAGTGACCAGCCCTTGTCCCTATCTGACTCGGAGCTCTACCTTGGGTTCATTCATTTAGTACTGGAAGGTACCCTAGAAATAAGTCCAATCCTTCATTTTACACATGAGGAAACTAAGGCCCAAAGAGGATAAATGATTGGCCCAAAGAAGGAAGTAAACAAGCATTTATTAAGCACCTACTATGTGTCAGGTATGGTGCTACATGCTTCATAGAAAATTATCTCACTTGATTCTTTTGACAACCCTAAGAGGTAGGTGCTATTATTACCCACATTTTGCTTTTAAGGAAATTGAGGTAGAAAAGTCAAGTGACTTGCTCAGGGTTACACATCTAGTAAGTATATGAGGCTGAATATGAACCCAGGTCTTCCTGAATCCAGGCCCAATGATCTATCCACTGGGCAACCTGGCTACTCTTAGTTCACAATAGGCAGTTAACAGCAGAGCTGGAATTCAAACCTAGATCTTCTAACTTGAAATACCTTACTCTTTCCACTGTACCATTCTATCTCTAGAGGAGGTTATTACTAATCCCTTTCTTAGCTTTCTAAAACATATGCCACAAACTCCAGATCATCAGTCTGATGTCCTCTGAGCTACTTCACTGGAGGCCTCAGAGCAGGGGTGGGGAACCAAATTTTATACAACAAATCCTTTTATTAAGGGAACTTGTCCTATGAAATTTGGATTCAGTCAAAGAACCACACTTGAGGACCTAGAGGGCCACAGGTTCCCCATGCCTGCCTTAGCGTTTCAAAGAATCATTGAATAATAGACTCTTTGAGTCAGAAGAGACCTCCCAGCTCATAGAACACAACTCCATGGATGCAGTCTATAGCATCATGGACAGGAGGTCTTCCAGCTGCTGACTGAACATCTTCAGTGAAAAGAAACTCATTACCTCACAAGACAGGTTTTCCAATTGGGGACAGCTCTAATTAGTAAGAATTTGGTTTTTTTTCCTTTATACTGAAGAAAATCTGCCATTCTACTGTTTCCACTCATTGGTCCTGGTCCCCCCCATAGAGCCAAGCATGGCATATGTATAATCTCCCTTCCATATGAGGTCCCTTCAGACACTACAAAACCTATTGCAGCACTCTCATTAAATCTTCTCTTCTCCAGGTTAAACATACTCAGGTCACAGAATCACAGAACTGGGGAGTTGTAAGGACTATCAGAAGCCATTAGATATGACCCGGACATGAACACACCTTATAAGGAACAGATCAACCTCTGCTTGAAGACTTCTAGGAGGAGGAACTCACTACTTCTCAAAGAAGCCCATTCCACTTCTGGACGGCCCTAATAGGCTGGTAGCGCCATAGTGGATAGAATGTGGGCCTGGAGTCAGGAAGTCTCATCTTCCTGAGTTCAAATCTGGCCTCAGACACCTACTAGCTGTGTGATCCTAGGCAAATCACTTAACCCTGTTTGCCTCAGTTTCTTCATCTATAAAATGAGCTGGAGAAGGAAATGGCACACTACTCCAGTATCTTTGCCAAGAAAACTCCAAATCAGGTCATGAAGAGTTGGACACAAGTGAAAAATGACTGAATAACAATAAAAACAATTGTAGGAAGTTTCTCCTAACAGAACATAAATAGGCCTCTTTGCAACTTCTACTCAGGACTCCTATTTCTGCCCTCTTGAGCAAAGATTAGTCTAATCCCTTTTCTACCCGAGAGTCATTCAAATACTAGAATACAGCTATCATGTCCCAAATCATCTCTTCTTTTCTCTAAGATAAATACGCCCATTTCCTTCCACTGCTTTTCATATGACATAGATTCAAAGTCCTTCACCATCCTGGTTGGCTCCCAGTTTATCAATGTCAACTAGGTGGCATAGTGAGTCAATAAGATCTTAATTCAAATCCATCCTCCGATATGGATAATCTGGGTGACCCTGGATAAGTCACTTGAACTACCTACCTCAACTTCCTCAACTGTGAAATGTGAATAATAATAATAGCATCTAGACACCTCCCAGGATTGTTGAGAGGATCACATGGAACGATATTTGTAAAGTGCTTAGCATAGTGCCTAGCATTTAATCAATCTTTGTTCCCTTTTCCTCTGCTGAAATCATGGTGCCCAGAACTGAAAACAACACTGCAGAGTAGCTCTGATGAGGGCAGAAAATACAATAAGTATATCACCTTCCTATTCCTGGAAGCTATGACCTTCTTAGTGCAGGTCAAGGTCAAATTAGCTTTTTTGGCTATAATATTACACAGGCCCAATTTCTTTCAACTAATCCATATGACATGGTTTCAACTTCCTTCATCATCTTGCAATCCCTTGGATTTCTTCCACTTTGATTTCCTAAATGCAGTATCTGAAAGGGAATACAACAATCTAAATACATTTTGACCGGAACATAGTATAGTAGGACTATGATCCCTTTCTCCCTGAACACTAAACATCTGCTAATGAAGTCTAATATCAGATCAGCTCATTGTTGGTTAAGGGGGAGAATAAGCCTTTATTAAGTGCCTACTATGTGCCAGGCACTGTGCTAAGTGCTTTCCAAATATTATCTCATGTGATCCCGCTGAATCATACTACTGACTTATTTTGAGTCCCTCTCTTGTTCACCTGAGCTTCTTTCTGTCCGTTTCCCCCATTCAGTGCAAATGTTTTACTGCAAGTTTAGAAATGTATGATTTTTCTCTATTATGTGTCTTCTTCAGTCCCCTATTCCAGCTTATGATCTTTGTGGATCCCTGTTCTTTGTCCTGTGTATTAGCTATCCCTCCTAGCTTTGTGGCATAACAATATTTTAATTAGCATGCCAATGGTACTTTCATCAAAGTTACTGATAAGACTGAAGAGCCTAACTGGGTTTATCCAAGACTCTTGGGGCACTCTACTACAGACCTCTCTAGTAGGAAGATTAACCATTAATCAACAGGCTTTGGGTCCAATCAAGCAACCAGCTGTACCATTATCCAACCTTTATCTTTTCATCCTTTCCACAACCATGTCAGGAGAGTCTTTGTCCAACACCTTCTGGAAATCCAGGCTTTTTTATGTCTAAGGCTTCTCCTGATGGCAGGATTAAGAGCTGGAAGGAAGCCTGGAGATCTTTTAGTCTAACAGCCTTCATTTTACAGATGAGCGTATGAAGGACCAGTGAGGTGACTCTAAGGTTACAGAGGCGATAAGGAAGCAAAGGAAGAATTCAAACACAAGTCCTCTGACTCCAGCACTGTTGGAGTCAGGCTCTTTTCAATATACCACACAGATCACAAAATTGCATGGGACAATTATAACATGAAGATTCTCCAGGAAGCAGGGAGGGCGGCTAGTCAAACTTAGCTTTAATGATAATGAAAAACATTTCTCACTCAGACTGCGGCAAAATACGAAAGGGTAGATTAAAAGGAGGAAAAACACAGAGGGGAGGGAGGGATGGTGTTTGAATGACTGTCATGTGGAAGAAGAATTAGATTTGTTTCTTTTGTGCTCTAAAGAGTCAAACTACCAACAGCGGATAGAAATTACGGGGAACAAGATTTCAGCTCAATCAAATTCAGAATTTCGTCAGAGTTAGAAAAGTTACAGTGCCAATATCATAAAATGATGATGCTACCTAAATTAATTTATGGATTTACTGAGATACCAAACAAACTGTCAAGAAGATACTTTACAGAGCTAGACAAAATCCATTTGGAATAATAAAAGGTACAGAAACTCAAGGAAAATAATGGGGGACGAGAGTACAAATGAAGGCAGAATGGCATTTCTAGATCTCAAATTATATTTCAAAGCAGTGATCATCACAAGTATTTGGTACTAGCTAAAAAATAAAAAAAATTGGCTCAGCAGAAGAAACTAGCTAAAGAGGAATCAGAAACAACTTAATTTGGCAACTCAGTATTCAATAAACCTGAGAACATAAGTTGCTTGAGGAAGAACTCCTTACTTGGCAAAAGATGCTGAGAAACTAGAAAGCAAGTTGGCAGAAATTAGATATAGACCAACATAATGTACCATTTACCATAGTAAGCTCCATGTGTTATATGTGACCTGAATGTTAAAGATCACATCATAAGAAAAAAAGCTATTGAACAACAAGATCAGGCACTCTTGACAGCTATGGCAAGGAAGAGAACTCTTCTTTACTAAAGAAAAGGGGCAATCACAAAATATAAAACTGATTTTTAATGAAATGAAATTGAAAAGCCTTTGCAAGAAAAATATCAATGCAGCAAGGCTAAGAAGCAAAATCTTTGCAACAGATATGACTGAGAGGGATCTGCTATCCAAGGCACTTGGGTAATATTTAAGATCAAAGGTGATTTTTCAATGGACAGGTAACCAAATGGATATAAATAAACACTTGTCAGATTAATC